AACAGCACACGGACTCATAGACTCACGTACATACCCCATACTCATCAACTCCTCAATTTGTCGTTGCAATTCCTTAGTTTCCAAAGGATTACACCTATAGGCAGGTTTGTTAGGCAAAGGAGCACCCGGAATGAGGTCAATTTGATGTTCAATTCCCCTCAAAGGTGGTAACTCTTTCGGTAACTCATCGGGAAAAACATCCTCAAAATCCTTAATCAACTGAGCTAATTTGGGATTTTGACTCACAAAATTTTCGTGGATCTCTTTAGAGTACAACAAGTATAATTCCTCCTCACCATCAATTTCCCTTTCAAATTCCTTAAGGGTAAGCAATGACACCTCCTTTGATTGTTTAGGATTTTGTGAAAACCGTGGGGGTGGTAACGGGTGCAATTTTTTTTGTTTTCCTTGGTGAGTTATAGTGTAAGTGTTATGGTACCCATCATGTTGAGATTTTCGATCAGTTTGCCAAGGTCTACCAAGCAAAATGTGACAAGCATCCATAGACACAACATCACACAGTTGAGTATCATGATAAGACCCAATAGAAAAACTAACCATGCATTGTTTCCTTACTCCCGTGCTAGAATTAGAGTCCAACCAACTCAACTTATAAGGATGTGGGTGATTTGTCGTTGTAAGACCAAGTCTAGCTATCAAGGTTTTGGAAACTGTGTTTGCCTCACTACCACCATCAACAATTAAATCACATACCTCGCCTTTAATCTTGCACTTGGTGATGAAAATGTGTTGCCTTTGCGGTGCTAAGGGTTCGTCAACGCGAGCTTGCAACGCCCTTCTCACAACCAGATTTGTTTTGGGCTCTTCTTCGGGGAAGCATTGTTCTTCCTCCTCGTCCCCTTCATTAGAATTCACGTCCTCCACTTCTTCAACCTCGAAATCCTCCCAATTGATAGTTTGATTAGCAATAAGCTTTACCTCTTGTATGGTCAAAGCTCTGGAATTTGGACAATCCTTCTTAAAATGGCCCCTTCCTCCGCACTTGTAACAAACAATGTCACTCATTTTGAAATCTTTCTTGTCCTTCTTAGGTGGATCGTTGGCTTTGACAAAAGAAGAACCATCCTTGACAGGGAAGGTTGGTCTTCGTGCCCACTTGAGGGGTGACAATCGGCTTTTTCTTCTTCCTTTTTGAATCAAACTTGATCACAAATTTGCAAGCTTCAGCACAGGTTAAATTGGTGTAACCTTCAAGTTTGTCTTGCAACTCTTGATCCAACCCAGCCACGAAACGTCCCATCTTGAGTTCTTCATTCTCCGTGATTTCACACACGATAGAAAGTCTGTCAAACTCTTTGATGTAGTCCTCAGCCGATTCTCCATTTTGTTGCAAAGTGCTCCACTTCACATATTGGCTTTGCTTGAAATTGTGAGGAATAAAGCGATCCCTCATCCTTTTCTTCAACTTGCTCCAAGTAGAAATAGACGCCTTACCCCTAAGAGTACGTCCCCTTTGCTCTCCTTGTAGCCAGTTATCCCCATAGCCTTTCAACTTCACCTTGGCTATCTTGTATTTTTGGAACTCCTCTTGAATGTCCTTGTAATCGAAATACCTCTCCAAGGATTTCTCCCATTCCAAGTACTTTTCTGGATCAAGTGTCCCATCAAAGGCAGGGACGTCCACTTTGAGACTCCTATCCTCCCTCCTAGGTGGAGGGTCTTCGCCTTGATCTCTCCTATCATGCTCGTTCATGAGCCTTGCCATCAAGGCAGCAAGGTTCCCTTGTAGATTGGCGTTGGTTTCAGCCAACCTCTCTTGACTAGCAATGGATCGATTAAGAGCTTCCAAAGCTGTCCTCAAGTCTTGATTTTCTCCCATGGTATGTAGGTATTCGACCCCGTTGGAAGAATTTAAGAAAACTCTTCCCCCTACCTGACGCGCCAAATGATGTGTAAGCAAGGTGAGAAACTTGTTTACAAACGGTCTGGAATGCGTGTTGTGTTTAGTTGAATTAGAAGTATCAATGTGGAGTAACTAAGAAGGATTAGGGGAACTCTCACCCTTAACCTTGAGGATATAACAATGAGGAACACTCACTCACTTGTTTGGGCGTAGTAGTGATTAGGGAACTCTCACCTATTCGACAACTACCAGTTTAAGTCTTAGGAACTCTCACTAAAACACAAACTCTTCAAATTGAGATAACTCTCAAGTTTGGAAAATCAAACCTGACTAGCACAAGTCAAATTTGGATCATACACTCGTGTGTTTCTTGCAAATTTCTGGAATGTCTTTTATTGATCATTAGCATGCTATTTATAGCTTTAGTACATCATTTAATTACCACTACACTTAGCTAAAACAAGCAACAAATTAGAAATAACAAAACTGAAAATAAGGGTAGATTAAGTGGCTCATAACCGTCCAACTTAATCCCTATTACAACTAATTATTACTCTAATTAAGAAAGCTTATAACAAGGGAAGAATAACTCCCAAAACGTCCAGCAAATTGACTCCAACATGCTGTCCAAATTCGTCCTCCAAAGCAGCCTTGAAATGCGCCTTTGTAACCCCCTCATTTAAGCCTTCATTCAAGCTCCTTTATTACGAAGTTAAACCAGCTTGAAACTCTCCATAAGGTCTGCATTGAATCCGTCTACATTCCCCCACTATCAAGGTAATTAGTCACGCTCAATATGGTGCAACCAGTTGAGGAATTATATGGACCGTGCACACCAAAATCCATAGGAGTAGAATCGAAGAAAGACTTGGACAAAATCAATTCCCTAACGTTCAACTCTTGGACTGGAATATTCGAACCTTGACCACTTTGGTCAGTATAGACCCCAATGTATCCAGGAGGAGGCGACCGAGAGATTCTATCTTCAGTAGTGGGCATTCGGCACCAACACCCATCTTCCTCTTTGATGCCGTAGTATACCTCCAACTGTTTGGCGACGCAATAACGACCATCATTTTCGATCCACCAAGAATAGGGCTTGGCATTCGCTAGACCCTCGGTCTCATAAGCATCGGTCCACTCCCGTTCCTTAGGAGTCAACGGCCTCGACGTCGAAGGCTCTCTTCGGCCTGAAGTACTGGCTCCAGCTGAGCCAGATGGGGGCGTGCTGGACAGCGGCATAACTCTCAAACCCTCGTCGCTTGAAACGGCGGCAGCCCCAGAACTCGCATTAGGGTTCTGCCTGCTCAAAAATGGCATCATGGCCAAGGGGCGATTCCGCTTCAGCACTAGCTGAGGCGTTTCCTCCTCCTCGGGCTCTCGCTGAGCTGGCTTTTTACTTCGGCTTCTAGCCATAGTTTAAAGGAGAAAACCGGAAAATGCGAAAAAAGGGAAACACTTCGAAAAGCAAAGAAAACTGAAGTGAATTACTAGAAAATTACCTTCTTCTGACTCGGAATTCGCCGATCTGCAAGTACGGAATGTCGGATTTTAAGTTCAAGGCTTCGGTTTGCGAGAAAACAGCGAAAGAAAAACTAAGGTATTGCGCGTGTTTGGGAGATAGTTGAGTTTTGAGTTGCGAAATGGAGATTACGGGGGGTCGAAACACTCTTAAATATGTTCTGGGATTCAGTTTCCGGAATTAAAGAAGCATTAACCACCCACTAAACACTATTTCAATTCGTGGCTACTCAAATTCTTCCCCCTTTGATTGCAACCGCCAAATTAACTTCGCACTAAATTCTTTCCACTTCCCCATTACTCTTAATTAACTGTTATTAAGGTTAGTTAAGTGTAATTAACGGTTATAAACCGTACAAATTCCTTAAAACAAATTCAAAATTATTTTCATTTACTTCCCTCCAAATCTCTTAGCAGCTAAAAACCCGACCCGTTATCCTCACGAATCGGGTCTGGGGGGAAAGTTGTGTGGGGTCCAAATAACTTATATATTTGGGCCCAATCCATAAATGAAAATAAGCAAAGCCCAAAGGCAAGGTCCAACCCTCCTACATGTGCCAAGTCAAGTCAACAAAGCCTAGTCAAATGGCAGTCCATTTGACTCCTCAAGCCCACTCCATTCAATTGGAGCAAGGTATAAAAGCTCATGCTCATACACATTTACATTCATTCACAATCATAGCCTCAAGCAACAAACACTCTTGCATAGCAATTCTCTCTCCTTTTGACACTCGTACTGACTTCGGCATCGGAGGGGCCTTGCTCGGCACACCTCCCGAGGCCAGTTTACGTTTGTTTAGCTGTGCAGGAAATCCTCAATTCGGTCATCACTCGAATTGGGTTTCGTCTCCACTCATCCGAAGGGCGTGCTGAAGGTCCCATTGTTTCTACCGAAACAATAACTTATCCAAAATTATCTGGAATTATTTTCCTTGCCATGTGGTTTGTGTTCTATGTTAATTTTACATCATCTACTATAAAGCCTTCCCTTCCCTATTCATTTGTGTGCCATAACCAAGAGGACTTTATTTGTGGAAGGAGTATTTGTGGGAGACTTTTACATAATTTGTTGGCTTATTGCTATTGGATTTGCTGTGGAGGATTTGAAATTTATACAAAATCTAGTCTCGTCCTCAATCATATGTGTGTTGTTTAGTCATTTGGCAAAGACAAATGCACAAAGGGCTTTTCACTTTTGGTTTTGTAATTTCTTAAATATATAACTTATGGTTTTAGACATCAAGTGCGGACGTACATTAATAATTCTTGCACCCAAAATTTAAATTGAATGTTGGCTCGTATAATCTCTCCTCAATTTTTTTATTTTATTTTATTTTTTTTTGGGTAATTCCAAATGTGAAAGATTTTGAAAAAACTTAAAATTAGATGTGAGAAGAGGAACATAGTGTAATGTTTGATGCGGAGTAAATTATTTGGTTATCCACTTCTGGGACTAAGATTAAACATTCTCTCATAGTAATTCAGGCAAAAGTCCTGATTAAGTTTGAAATTTTATTGTTTATTTTATTTTTCTTGATAAACTAGAATGTAATTTCTTAAACTTCTTTTTCTTTTTTTTTTTTTTTTTTTTTGTTTTTATTTTATAAATTTGCAGAGAGCAACAGTGGAGAATGAAGTTGTGCAATCTATAGTTCACTTTTTGGTGGAGGAAACCAAACCTCAGGCTTAACATATAATCAGCAATACAGGTTAGCACATTATGATACTCTTTGTGTCTTTCACTTACTCTAGAGTCTACGTTGGCCTATATATGGAAAACAAACCCCCTTATGATAAGCAATATATTGTATAAAGCGTTAGGTTTTCTCATTTGTGAGAGAACTACCCCTGAAAATAAAGATAAAGATAAAATAAATTGGATCTTACATTGGCAAAAAATTTATAATTCCTAACGATAGAAAGCCACCATGTAATACCCCGATTTTTTTGAGTATATTTAGTAAATGATTTTTTTTTTAAGTGATTTTTCTATTATCCAATTTTTTATTTTTTTTTTAATAATTCATAATTATTTTCAAATTTATATAATTTATATATATATATTAAAAAAAAATTAAAAAAGAAAAAAAAAAAACTGATCTTGGATAATTCCGTGAACTGATTTGAAAAGTGATAAAAAAAAATAACAAATTTTGAAATTGGCCTTATCAGATGGAGCTTGCAACAAATTCAATTTGAATTGAGTCTTATTTTCTGAAAATTCCAGAGCAATTCACCCTAAACTATCTAAGTTATATATATACACCTGAATCCTAAAGTTGATATGTCGTATAACACTCTGAAATAATACCCATCATTTTCAATTTTACCCAAGTCGTCATCCCTGATCGATCTTTTATCGGTAAGCCATGAGTTTTCTTATTGTGGTTCTCTTGTATTGAATTGAGCTTGGCAAATTCGAAATGCTGATTGAACCTTCTCTTGATTTCTTGTCTTATCCACCCAATTTCTTTAATCTTCTTGTCTCTCGTTGAACATCTTGTAATTGACGAACTGAAGTTTTTTTTTTTTTTTAAGAATAATGGGTTGTTTTCTTTTCTGCCAAAGTAGACATCATTGAGGTGTTTTCGGAGTTTTATGCGTGGGTTTTGCAGGCTAAGAGGGGAAAAGTTTGTTGTAGTGGAGTAGTGGACCATTTGTTTATTCAGATACTATACTTCTAAATTTATAATCATAGTTGACTTATAAATAATTTTTTTTTTTCCTCCAAATTTAATTATCAATACAATACATTACAAGTGGTTGCTTAATTACCCACATACTAGTGTACTACTACTAACTTCGTATCAGCTATACGAGTCATACTTGACTTAGTATTATTATCTGTTATTTGTAGACAGAGGCTACTAGGTGAACGTTTCAGAGGTTATTTACCTTGAGGCTTGCGCAACTCAAGGTAATTTTCAATGTCCATCATCTTAAATTGTTTTGATTTATTGTGTGCCAACTATGTGCTTATGTAATTATATGTGATGAGTGTGGTGCCGTATGATATTATGGAATCATATTTTATACTAGCTTTCTATATTTTGTTACTAGTATAAGTGTTTTCGAAATTTTGATTAATTGGTATTGTATGAGTTTTTAAAATAATTAAAGTCTTGGGAACTATATGATTGATTATATGTAATCGATGGTCTCCAAGGCCTATTGGAAAACAAGTTGTAATTAGTATGTCAAGTAGAATGACTATGTTCTAATAATACTGAAATTGAAAAATTATTACTTAGGATTAAATTGATTTGTGCAATGTGATAGGGCAATTTAATCTATTAAAATGTACATTGAAATTAAGAAGGAAAATGAAACAGGAAAGGGTGAAGAACATGTTGCCCACTAGTAGTTATGGTTGCTACCAGTTGGTTTAAATTAACGTATATTGTTGTTTAGTCTTCCTCATAATCACTAGGTATTAGTGAGGGGTGTGCACACTATGGACATTCTGTTTATTTTCATGACCATTTGGGGTTACGCGCGACCCTCTGTAAAGTAGGGGTAAAGTAGGTGGTGATAGGGACTAGTCCCGGCTTAGTGGCGTTCTCTTTCCCTTTCTTTACAATAAGTAACAATAGTGTTATGTGACAATTTGATAATGATTTAATATTATTATGTCAATGTATTTGTTTTATGTATAAAATGTTTTCGAACTAAAATTATTTATTTTACAGGATGGAGTTGGAATTACTCATTTTATCTAATTTTGGGATTTTGTCTTTCTTTTCTTGTTTTTGATTTATTTTGCAGGTTGGTAAGAGGGTGCTTGGTTACGTATGAGGAGACGTTAGAATAACCTCGTAGCTATGAAAATTTAGTTTACTTCCGAACTTATTTATTTTCCTTCTAATTAGTTTTTTAAAAATGTTTGGGGGGGGGGGGGGGGGGAGGGGGGTGGGGGGTTGGGGGTATGGGAATTCCCCTGATGGGGATTGATCCCACAACCTTGTGGTTGTGAGATAGGATTCCTTACCATTAGAGTATTAGACCAAGTATTACTTTGTAGTCTCCTAGATACATGATTGTAGGATAGATGAAGGTGCTATTTGCTATATTTGTTAAGGTGTTAGCATAAGAATTCAAACTAAAATTGCTTTATGGGAAGGCAATTACCATATTACTTTTCTACTCATTGCATTTTATAATTGTATTGCTCTGTATCTCAAGCTCCACCTTATTGTTCTTCATGATGATTTGTCATGGATTACGATGAATCCCTTTTGAAATAGTTGTGAGTAGCTTTTATAATCATCTAATACTCCAATACTAAAAATTTTCTTTTTCTTTCCTCCTCCTTTCCCTTGTTATGAGGCCATTTTTGGACTGGGGGTAATAAATTAAGGTGATAATAAAAGTCGAATTAAGAAAAATATAAGTGATTAGAGGTGTTGTAGAAAGTAATGTGTTTATAAATGAAATAATGTAATATGACATGAAGAAAGGAGAGAGGTGAAGGAATGATTACCCTTATAATAAAGGTAATAGTTACCCACCCTCCCCCTAGTGTAAATATTACCCCCAAAAAGAGGGTAATGGTTCCCCTTTCTTTACTTATCACCACACCATCACTACATAAAATAAAACTCATAATCACAAACCATCATTATCTCATCCTCCCATATATTTACTTTCATTTTGTTAGTTTTACTTATATTACCCTAGCAATGCCCTGAGTATTTGTTACCTGGCGGTAATCTTGTAGTTTTTGCTAGGTTTTTTGTTCTCTACTTCAAAGAAAAAGCTACCTTGACACGGTAGCTTTGGAATTGTTAAATGTGGAGGTCATGACATGTGTCACCCATAATGCCTTCTTGGCTATGTTGGAGTATATTTGGTGGTAAAGCCATGGGCTTCACCATCCCTAAGTCTTTAGTAATTCCTTTTTAGTTCATAGAATAAAGCATAGGATTTTTTTAATAGACAAGGAAAAGTAGTGAGTGCATTAATGCTTGAAAATGTAATACTCTCAATCCAAGTAATGATTTGAGAAGGTTTTAGTTAGACGGTTAAGGATTCTTCTCTCGTTCAAGGAGTCGAGCAATATGTAGTTTCATCCTTTGAATTTTGATGATCGCCTCAATGTTTATTTGATTACAATGGTCATCCTTAAAATGATCATCATTCTTAAGTCTCATTGGCTAATTTTTCCCTTGTTTTTTTGGATTTGATCAAACCTATTTTTGGATTTTTTTTTTTCTTTTTTAATTGATTTTCTTATTTTTGAAAATCAATATTTTATTCATCAAAAATCTATTTTTTATTTTCATAAATATTTTACTAATATCAGTTCTTGATAAAATAAAAAGTAAAGATTGAATTAACAAAATTAAAAAATCAAAATATCGTTCTTCATTGTTCTAATCTTCTTCAATGTTTTTCTTCCACAGATGAAAATAACTACCAATATCATAACCTTTATCCCCTAAAGACGCTCACACATCGACGAAGATTTAAAATATGCATCGATCTACATAGTACATATGATATTTGAGCTCGTTTGAAATTGGGGTTTATACGAATTTGGGTTCAATTAAAATCCTAAAACAATACATGTATGCTAATTTGACAATCACAATCAAGGCCAGAGATGCATAATCATTAATCACCAATTATGTTTTTTGTGAAAATAAAAAAAAAAATTCAATTTTTCGGTAGTTTGGGTTCGTGAGGCAAATTGGAGGAGAAACCATATTTTTTTCGAAAGCCTGTTTGATTAAAAAAAGCGAAGCTGAAATTTTAAAACCTGTTTGTGTATAAGGTATTCACCAATATGCTAATAGGAATGACCTATAACAAACAGTTTTATTTTTTATTCGTCTACGACCATAAGAAGTTTTGTAATCATATTGAATATTATTATTAGGACGACTTTTGTAATTATATTTATGAAATCATCAGACAATTTTCATTAGATTATCAATGCAAATTCAATTTAACTATTAATAATTGATATGAATTACAATGAAAACTTTAACATGTTTATAATAAGAAGGTTATGATTGTATATATTATAGGTCATTACATTATGAAACAATGTCAAGCTTATGTCATAAAGTGTTTATTTAGAAATTTGATTCAACTAATTAAGTTTCAACGGTAAACGACCTATGAATTATTTAATTTATTTAATCTTGTTATTCTAGGTAGCGCTCCTATGGAGCTTCGTAGGATTCTTAGTGAGGATGTGCAAGGTGTGGCTTTCCCACGTTTTGTGCCTCCTTAATAGATTATTTGGTTGTTTTATTTTTCTTATTTTCGTGTTTTTCTTGGTTTAATCCTCATTAGAAACTGTAACATTATTTCCCAAAAAAAAGGTTAATCAACAATAATATATATGGTTAACTTAACAATTGAAGTCTAAATGCCTTTTAATATTTGACAAAAGATTGCCAAACTTATGTTACAAATCTTACAATATTCCAATTTAAAAGATCACGTCTTCAATAAATTGAGCTATTATAGTTAATTACTTATTATCACCATAAATTGTATTCCATATATTGATATAATCCTAATAAATTGATAGAATGGAATATTTAATGATCCTAAATTAGGTTCACATAAAAAAAATATTAATTAATATTTGTCCAAAAATAAAAAATGTTAATATAAATTTATTTTTAAAATTGAACTTTCAAAAAATAAATAATACAAGTAATATACAAGTATAATATATTGATATTATTAAATTTACTTACAAATTAAAGAAATAAATGTTTTGAGTTTTATTATTTAAGTTGACAAAAGTATTATTGAAAACATGTATATTATCTTGTATATGGTAATTTTTATTTTTTTTTAAAAAAAAACACATAAATTTAAGTTGATAAAAGTATCCTATAAACCATAGGGTAATGTGAAAAAATTAAGAAAGCTAAGAGTAATTACCATACAAATGTTTTTGACAAAACCAAGTTAGAAACATAAAGTAAACTTATAAATAGAAAAAAAAAATAATAAACAAGTTTAGAGCCACATTTACAATACAAAGTCAACTGAAGTACTACTAAAGTTATCGTACCAATAAAGTTTTAACATCAAAATCAAGTTAACACAAAAGCATAATGCCTAATTATCATTGAAGATTCCTTTCCAGAACCTTCCTTTTCTATGCCCAAATCATTAAAATTCTCATCTTCATTAAAAAATAACCTAATTAAAATTGATGTTTTAAAGATCCCTACAAAATTTGAAATTATCTTTTCAAATATTAAAAGATATTTTTTGACACAAAAAAAAAGAACAAAAAAAGAAAAAGAATATATTGAAGTCATCATATTCTTTAAAATAATAAGATAAGTGTTTCGGGGGGTTTTCGATGTGTCTTGTTGGAGAGTTACAATTCCTAGTATATGTCAACAACACATGTACCTGCAAAACCACGAAGACTCTGGTTGGTGGGAGCTCCGCCTCCGACGACCAAGTCAGTAACGTACAAGAGGTAAATAATGCGGAAATAGTAATTACTCCTCCCTAATACAGGAGGATTCTGCAATTAATATTGCTCGGGATTGGTATTTGTATTCATGGCTATTTCTGAATGCCCAATAAATGAGGTCTGACCCACTATTTATAGTGGGGGAGACCAGTATCCCAACTAGAGTTCAAAGGACACGTGTCAACAGGGGATTGGAGTCCTGTTGACCTATGGCTGGCTGCCACGTGTCGCAAGGCCATTGGGCTACGTGTCTAGGGTAATTTTTTCCCTAAATATTTGCCCCTCTCAGGTGCTGACGTGGCGGTGCTACATGGCGTTTAAGACGGTTTTTTTTTTTTTTTTGGAATTCGAATTTGAATTCGAGTTTTGGAAGTACAAAGGGCAGAAGGTGAAAAGGCGCGAGGGTTCACCTTCTGAGGATTGCCTATAAATAGCAAAACTCATCCCTCATGTTCACATTTACAACCTTGAACAATTTTCAAAGATTTTGAGAGCAGCCGGTATTAAGATAAAACTTCTCCTGAATTCTTTCGAGTGCACATCCGGTATTTACCGCCTCTTTCAAAGAATTTGATGCCTTCTGTGTGTTGTGAACAACATCGCAAATTTGCAGCTGCTTCTCAGAGAACACATCCGGCTACGAGGACGCCTGAGTCTTTGCAAGCCATTTGAAGTTCTTCCAGCTTGGTCAAGCGGTTTTCTCCTCTTCCCAATTAACTTAGGTACCGCCTCTGTTCTCTCTAGCTCTTCCATGTATTTACGTTTGTGCTTCTTTCTTGCTTTTTTCTTTATTAGTTCCATAAGTAGATGGACCCTCTATACCCACACCCGGAACATAGCTTTGAGACCAACCGGTCCCTCAATACGGTTGAGTCTGGGACTGGGGATGCCGCCTCTGGGCATTGGAATCTTTCTAGTTCATCTCCCAATCCGACCGTCTCCGTGTATGTGCAGGACACAATGGCAAGAACCAGGAAGACAGCTGTGGATCCCAATTACAGAGGCGGAGGCTCAGAAGAGTTGCCGCCTGAGGAGAGGATCCCTGATGAGATGACAAGGGGATCTCCTAGAGGCACCCCAAGTACCCCTAGCGATGGAATTCTAGGGTCTTAAAGTGGAGGCGGTGAGGAAGCCGCCTCTGCTTCTGGAGCTGAGGATCAAGGAACCTTAGCAAGAAACGAGAGCCCCGCCTCCAGTTCCGGCTCTGATGGGGGCAAAAGCAGCAGCAGTAGCTATCTCACGACGTGTGTGGATAGTGAGGAGAATGAGAGGCCTACATGGAACAGCAAAGGCGACCCTTTCATGATCTCCATCTCTGCAAAAGACAGAGCTATCATGTAGAGAAACTTAGTCGACTTCATACTCAAGCGGCCCTTAGGAGAAGGGTACAAATTAGTCATCCCGCCTGAGATGGGGACCATTTCCTGGGAAGACAACCAGCACA